CCTGTACAGTGATTATTCCCAATTACACCTGACAGATTCAACTGCCTAAAATTGATGTAAATTAAAGCAGAGAGATCAATATGCTAGCATCATACTTAAATTATAACGGATTATGTTTCATATAGCGAGTTTGGAGGATACCACTCCGAAATTAAAACTTTCATTACATTTTAATCAGCCATTTCCTGAGTAATGAAACGATGAAATTTTTTAAATGATATACAACGAATCTTTATACCTCAGTAGGAGAACAGGCTTCAATAGCCCTAGTCACAAGGGCTGTCGGGTGAGAACGCGTGGTAACAATTGTATGATGAACGTCACCCGGTTTTACTGATGGATCAATCGGGAAAGGCAATTTGGTATTTTGGAGTTTATCAAATGGAAGACTCGGCGTAAGACCATGCAAACCCATTCCTTCGAAACTCCAGATAATGCGAGGGACAGATTTGGCCACAATGTTATTAGAATCCACAATTTCCTTACTGCCTTCAACGTAAAACGGTTGAGCTATCACACCTCCCACGGGACGGCCCTCTGCTGCAATGCCAATCAACACAGTTACATGCCCCACCAAGCCCTATGAAGGAGCAAAATAAATAGAAAATAGCATGACACTCAATAATAAATGGTTTAGAAATAACGATAGGAATCCAATTAAATTTGCTTGGTATAATAGTGTACAAAAAGCATGGGTAATCAATTCTAGGAATCAACGATGGATCTAATATGGATACAAGTGATGACCATTGTTAGACAGTGAATGCAATAAATTATGTTAGCGGTAAAGATAATTTAATCAGTAGACTAATTGACACAATATGCGAATTTTTCAAACTTTCGTGCGTGGCACTCACGCTTTCAATAATAATTACCTATCTATAAGCACAGACTACAAATTAATAATATTATCATGCTGCTATTTACTTTTGAATGAAATTCAATCAGGCAGAATTAAATGAAGGTAATTTGAAATATAAGAGAATATAAAGCATATCCACACAAAGATACGCGCAATAGGGCTGTCATTCTGCTTGTCGATAACCGGTTCATTTGAGATAGGAG